CTGTACGCCTAAAGGCGTGGGAAAGGGAGTTTACTTTTATTTCTATGCCCCCGTTGGTTCTAGTGCAAAAACATTCTAGTTATTTTATTCTTATGTTTTTTCAACGTGTGTTCTTTCCACAGCCAGCGTCTTTTCCTCACCTCTTAGTCCAGTGGAGCTTGTTTAGTTATCTCCAAAGCTTTATTTCTCTGTCTGTCCGTAGCTTATACCTTAAACTGTAAGTGTACATCTAAGTTCCATTCTTCTCTCTGTCTATAATATTTCTTCTCCTTTCCAATTGTGTGTCCAGCGACCCAAACGAAATCGTGTCAACAAGAATTCAAGGTCCCTTTCTGGCGTCACTGGAACGACAGCGACCGAACTAACAGAGGGGGGGGGGATATCAGCGGGTCTTGCACCAGTAATGTTGACTTCGATTGCATCATATTGAATAAATCAATACCAACTCGTCTTCATACAATTGGATAACCATTTCCCAGCGCCTTCGCTGTTTGTTTAATGCGTTTTCTTGCAGGCATGTCGATTGAAATTGCTAATGTTTATTAAAAAAGACAAAGAAGCAGAAACAACATTTAGAGACAAGAAATGTTTGACTGACAGGACACTTCGTTTGTGGGAGGAAAATAAAAACTAGATTTAAGGGGAGAAAACATCGATGTTCTAGAAATTAAAGTCAAGAGATTAACTACTGGACATTGACGAAGGCGATTGATTTGTTGAGCGTTGCTCGTGTGTGCCTTGTTGACCCAAGTCTGCGTGAGTGCCAATATTGAATTCTGCGTGAAAGTCTCTCTAACATTCCAACACGAAACGTCTCTAAACATTACACTGTTAATTTTTTTTTCCTCTCAGGCATCTGTGTTTTCTTTATTGTTTCTTTGTATTGTTTTAATTGTTCCTTCCTTTTATTTTGTTTTGTATTTGTAACCGCACTGTGAGATTTTCTTAGCTGTGTTAGCAACAGCAGCAGCAGCAGCAGCAACCGCAGCAGCAGCAGCAGCAGCAGCAGCAGCAGCAGCAACCGCAGCAGCAACAGCAACCGCAGGGGTAGGAGGAGTGGAGGTTTCACTGGGTTACCCTGCAATTGCTCCGTCCCTGTAGCAGAGAAACTTTGCCTGACTGACGCAGGGAAAACTTGTGAATAAACCATTAGTTCTGAAGACTAGTGTAGGTTGGGGGTAGACATGACTACTGACGACACACGGTGATGACGATGAAGCTAGTGTAGGTTGGGGGTAGACATGACTACTGACGACACACGGTGATGATGATGAAGACTAGTGTAGGTTGGGGGTAGACATGACTACTGACGACACACGGTGATGATGACGTAGGCAAGTGTAGGTTGGGGGTAGACATGACTACTGACGACACACGGTGATGATGAAGACTAGTGTAGGTTGGGGGTAGACATGACTACTAACGACACACAGTGATGATGATGTAGGCTAGTGTAGGTTGGAGGTAGACATGACTACTGACGACACACGGTGATGATAAAGAAGACTAGTGTAGGTTGGGGGTAGACATGACTTCTGACGACACATGCTGATGATGATGAAGACTTGTGTAGGTTGGGAAGTAGACATGACTACTGACGACACACGGTGATGATGATGAAGACTAGTGTAGGTTGGGAAGTAGACATGACTACTGACGACACACGGTGATGATGATGAAGCTGGTGTAGGTTGGGAAGTAGACATGACTACTGACGACACACGGTGATGATGATGAAGACTAGTGTAAGTTGGGAAGTAGACATGACTACTGACGACACACGGTGATGATGATGAAGCTAGTGTAGGTTGGGAAGTAGACACGACTACTGACGACACACGGTGATGATGAAGACTAGTGTAGGTTGGGAAGTAGACATGACTACTGACGACACACAGTGATGATGAAGAAGACTAGTGTAGGTTGGGGGTAGACATGACTACTGACGACACACGGTGATGATGATGAAGACTAGTGTAGGTTGGGGGTAGACATGACTACTGATGACACGCGGTGATGATGATGAAGCTGGTGTAGGTTGGGAAGTAGACATGACTACTGACGACACATGGTGATGATGATGAAGACTAGTGTAGGTTGGGGGTAGACATGACTACTGACGACACATGCTGATGATGATAAAGACTTGTGTAGGTTGGGGGTAGACATGACTACTGACGACACATGCTGATGATGATGAAGACTTGTGTAGGTTGGGGGTAGACATGACTACTGACGACACACAGTGATGATGATGTAGGCTAGTGTAGGTTGGGAAGTAGACATGACTACTGACGACACATGCTGATGATGATGAAGACTTGTGTAGGTTGGGGGCGGAAGGGGGGGGGGGGGGGGTGGGGGTAGACTATGTGACTTAAAATGTTTGATAAATTGAAATTATGAAAGTCTGCTCTTGCATTTCACAAATCGTGGCCTGGAATCTAATGGAGCATAGTCTGTTTGATCAACTGAGGCACATAGAGATCTAAGCTTGCTGTTAATGCTGGCAATTCTAAGCGAGTAGCTCTCACTGTAACCACTTTCGACTCAAGATCTGCATTCATCGAATAATATTCATGCAGCAGTCTTTAGAGCCATGGCCTCGGCTTTGTGGTAGTGTGATGGCTGGAGTGTTTCTATGTTGGGAACTGCTTTGTGCTAGTGTGGTGGCTGGAGTGTTTCTATGTTGGGAACTGCTTTGTGCTAGTGTGGTGGCTGGAGTGTTTCTTTGTTGGGAACTGCTTTGTGGTAGTGTGATGGCTGGAGTGTTTCTATGTTGGGAACTGCTTTGTGGTAGTGTGGTAGCTGGAGTGTTTCTATGTTGGGAAACTGCTTTGTGGTAGTGTGATGGCTGGACTGTTTCTATGTTGGGAACTGCTTTGTGGTAGTGTGGTAGCTGGAGTGTTTCTATGTTGGGAAACTGCTTTGTGGTAGTGTGATGGCTGGACTGTTTCTATGTTGGGAACTGCTTTGTGGTAGTGTGGTAGCTGGAGTGTTTCTATGTTGGGAAACTGCTTTGTGGTAGTGTGGTGGCTGGAGTGTTTCTATCTTGGGAACTGCTTTGTGGTAGTGGTGGCTGAAGTGTTTCCATGTCGGGAACTGTTTTGTGGTAGTGTGACAGGAGCGTTTCTATGTTGGGAACTGCTTTGTAGTAGTGTGGTGGCTGGAGTGTTTCTATGTTGGGAACTGCTTTGTGGTAGTGTGGTGGCTGGAGTGTTTTTTTTTTGTTAGGAACTGCTTTGTGGTGGTGTGGTGGCTGGAGTGTTTCTTTGTTAGGAACTGCTTTGTGGTAGTGTGGTGGCTGGAGTGTTTCTATGTTTGGAACTGCTTTGTGGTAGTGTGGTGGCGGGAGTGTTTCTTTGTTGGGAACTGCTTTGTGGTAGTGTGGCTGGAGTGTTTCTATGTTGGGAACTGCTTTGTGGTAGTGTGGCTGGATTGTTTCGATGTTGGGAACTGCTTTGTGGTAGTGTGATGGCTGGAGTGTTTCTTTGTTAGGAACTGCTTTGTGGTAGTGTGGTGGCTGGAGTGTTTCTATGTTTGGAACTGCTTTGTGGTAGTGTGGTGGCGGGAGTGTTTCTTTGTTGGGAACTGCTTTGTGGTAGTGTGGCTGGAGTGTTTCTATGTTGGGAACTGCTTTGTGGTAGTGTGGTGGCTGAAGTGTTTCTTTGTTTGGAACTGCTTTGTGGTAGTGTGGCTGGAGTGTTTCTATGTTGGGAACTGCTTTGTGGTAGTGTGGTGGCTGGAGTGTTTTTTTATGTTTGGAACTGCTTTGTGGTAGTGTGGCTGGAGTGTTTCTATGTTGGGAACTGCTTTGTGGCAGTGTGGTGGCTAGAGTGTTTCTATGTTGGGAACTGCTTTGTGTTAGTGTGGCTGGAGTGTTTCTATGTTGGGAACTGCTTTGTGGTAGTGTGGTGGCAGGAGTGTTTCTATGTTTGTAACTGCTTTGTGGTAGTTTGGTGGCTGGAGTGTTTCTATGTTGGGAACTGCTTTGTGGTAGCGTGGTGGCTGGAGTGTTTCTTTGTTGCGAAACTGCACTTTTGTATGCCACCCTTTTCCATCCAGCATTGATTCCTCCTCCTCCATCGCCAGCATCGTCCTTTGCTGAGCCTACCCTGAACTCCCATATCTATCTGTTTATGGTATAGTGTTCTTGTGACAGTTGATTGAGGCAGTTGATTGTGACAGTTGATTGTGACAGTAAATTGTGACAGAAAATTGTGACAGTTGATTGTGATAGGTTCTTGTGACAGTTGGTTGTGACAGTTGATTGTGACAGTTGATTGTGACAGTTGATTGTGACAGTTGATTGTGACAGCTGATTGTGACAGTTGATTGTGACAGTTGATTGTGACAGTTGATTGTGACAGTTGATTATGACAGTTGATTGTGACAGTTGATTGTGATAGGTCATTGTGACAGTTGATTGTGACGTTGATTGTGACAGTTGATTGTGACCGGTGAGTGTCCGCATTTCTAAAGGAGCCTGTTCTCCATTGGGAAGGATGCCGTCTATCGTGTCTCGGGTTTGTGGGGAATACTTTGAGTTCCGTAGTTAAAGTTTGGGATAAGTGGAGACATTTTATTTTATGGGATTAGAATATAAGTTGTCTGTGTGTGTATATATACATTGTATATTACGTGTATATATATATATATATATATATATATATATATATATATATATATATATATATATATATATATATATATATATATATACACACACACACACACACATATATATATTATTGTGGTCAGGGCAGCGAGACATTACTTTCAACTAATATACACGTATAATATTCAACAAATATACACGTATAATATTCAACAAATATACACGTATAATATTCAACAAATATACACGTATAATATTCAACAAATATACACGTATAATATTCAACAAATATACACGTATAATATTCAACAAAAATACACGTATAAATATATTTATATACACACACACATATACATACACACATATACACACATATACTGACCCACAATGATGAGATAGCACCCAACCAAAATGTCGGCAGTGGGGGACAGCGTCGACCGGAACCTGTCGTCGACCAGAAATGACGATGATGATGATGATGACGAAGATGATGTGGTGCTGGTGGTGAAGTTATCCTTGGAGCAGACGGGAGCGACGGGCGAATGAACTGGTGGGGCCTTGCTGTGATTGGTGCAGTTCCACATGGTGGTCAGTGGGAGATCACGTGGACACCTGAGGATGAGCGGAGAGGGAAGATCACATGGACATTAAAGGAATAGATGAAAGGGGAGATCACATGAACACCTGAGGCTTAGAGGACAGGGGAGATCACGTGGACACCTGAGGCTGAGAGGACAGGGGAGATCACGTGGACACCTGAGGCTGAGAGGACAGGGGAGATCACGTGAACAAGTGAGGCTGAGAGGACAGGGGAGATCACATGGACATCAAAGGATTAGATGACAGGGGAGATCACATGAACAAGTGAGGTTGAGAGGACAGGGGAGATTACATGGACATCAAAGGATTAGATGACAGGGGAGATCACATGGACATCAAAGGATTATATGACAGAGGAGATCACGTAGACACGTGAGGTTGAGAGGACAAAGGAGATCACATGGACACGTGAGGCTGAGAGGACAGGGGAGATCACGTAGACACGTGAGGCTGAGAGGGCAGGGGAGATCACACACTAACTAACCATCTTCCACCTTTCTTACAAAGTGACAATATTTTGTTTCCTTTAAAATTCCCATCTGGATAACTCATGGTAGTTAAAAGTCAATATCTGTGGCTAGTGTATCTTTCAATGACTAGAGGCCATCATGAAAACTTTCGGTTTCACTTTAACTCACTACCTACCAAGTGGCCATTTCACCAACTGTTATGTTTCACTGTCGATGATGATATTCTGCATAGCAGCCATCTCAAAAACTGTGCTCGGCGACTAATTTTACTGTTCTTCTTAATTGGCTAACTAACCACTTACCTGTTTGTGCATCTATTAGCTTCTCTACAACCTGTGGTGCGATCTACTGTCGACTAAACATTTCAACTGAAACTAGCGGCCACCCCTATCTGGTAGATACTTCAGTAATTTTTTACTGTTCTGAAATGTAACTAGAAACATTCCTTTATCTCCACCACAAATTCCTAATCCCTAACCCTGGTAAAATAGGTCCTAGTGTATTATATCGACCACTCGTTGTCCTCTGGCTATTGTCACTACTCACTGTTATTTCGACAATGTCAAAACTAAGATTACCCGATTACCAGCTGACATTAGCATCTAGCGTTCTTACTGCTTTCTTCTACTTTCCTTCTCTTCTTTCTCTAGCATTTCTACATTCTTTTTCTGTGACTCTCTCTCTTCCTCTCTACTTACTTCTACTCTTTTCTTATCTACTAACTCACTCCTTTTCTTTCTACCTCTTTCCTCTTTTTTCTTTTTTCTCTCTTTTATCTTACTTTCTTCTTACTTCATCTTCTTCTTATCTCCTCTCTCCTTTTCTTCTTTACTTTAACTTTCTAACTTTCTTTACTCTCTCTTTTCTTTCATCCCCCTTTCCTCCTCTCTTCACCTTCTCTTTTCTTACTATCTTTCTCTCCCTTTATCTTTCTCTTCTCCCTCTCACCTTTATACTCTTTCTTCTTTTACTTTCTACCCTCTCTTCTCCTTCTTCTCACTTCAAACTTTCCCTGACTTCTTCTTACGTAGGGGCTCTATTCTTCTATTTCTCCTTCTTTCTTTCTTACTTTCTTTTCTTCACTCTCTTCTTTCTTCTTCTTCTACTAACTCTCTCTTTCTTCTTCTTTCTTTCTGCTATCTACTTCCTTCTTTCTGCTTCTGATCTCTTTCTCTTTTTTCTTCTTCTCTTATCTCTTCTTCTTCTTATCTATTCTTTACTATTCTTTCTTTTTCTTATCTTTCCTCTCTATTCTTTATTTCATACTTTTAGTACATTTCTTTTCTTTAGATCTTCTATCTTCTGATCTAACTCTACTGTTTCCTTCTTACTCTTCTTCTACTCTTCTCCTTACATTTAATTCAGTTCTTCTTCTGCTACTTTCTCTCTTTCTTTTCTATCTCTGTTCCGTCGGTCTTTTTCTCTCTACTTTTCGCTGTTCTCGTGTCTTCTTTCTTCTAACTTCTTCCTTTTCATTCTTTACTAACTTCTCATTTTCTTCGACGTTCACTCTCATTTCTCAACTTGTCCTTTCTCTCAGCACTTCTTTCTACTTCTCTTTTCTCTTCTACTTTCTCTTCTGTCTCTTGTCTCTACTTTTTACTTTCTACTCTTCTCTTACTCTCTCCTTCTCTACCTTCCCACTCTGTAACTTCTCTCTTTTCTCCTTTATTCGATCTTCCTACTTACTACTTTCTTTACTAAGACCTTCTTTCCTCTTCTCTTTACTACCTTCTACTTCCCTACACTTCTTCTTTACTCTCTTGCTTCTTCATCTTTCTCTACTTCTTTTACTAATATCTACTTTTTCTTTTCTCTTCAATATTCTTTAGTCTTCTCTTATGAATCTTCTTTCTCTTCTTTCTTCCTCCATTTCTTTTGTCTACTCTCTTTTCTCCATTCCTCTTCCTGTTACTTCTTTTTCTTACTTGATTCTTTTTGTTCCTTACTTTTTTTCTTCCTTCTTCTTTCTTATTCTCCTTTACTCCTCCTCTCTACTTTCTTACTTTGTCCTTTTTCTCTCTTTCTTTCTTACTTATTTCTTCTTTCTTCTCTCTCTTTCTTTCTTCTCCCTTTCTTTTCTCTTTTTTTTACTACTCTTTTTTATCCTTTTCCTCTTCTTTCTTTCTTCGTTATTTCTTTCTTTTCTTTCTCTTCTGTCTTCTTTTCTTCCTTTCTTACTTCTTTACCTACGCCTTACACCTCCCTGCTCTTCTCCTTTTTCTCTGGCTCTCCTACTCTCTACCGCTTTTCGCTTTCCTTACGGCTACTTCTCTCTACTTCGTACTCGACTTGTACCTTTACTCTTCTTTCTACTACAGCCACTCTGCTTGTCTCTTTCTTCTGTTTCACTTGCTTTCTACTCTTATACTCTTCACCTCTGTCTATTCTTTCTCTTTCTTCTTTTTTTTTTTCTTTTCGTCGGACAACCACTTACTGTGTTCTCGGTCTCTTTCACCTTCCTACTCTTCTTCCGCTCCCTCGAACTCTCTTACCCCTCTTTACTCTCTACTTACTTCCCGCTTACTATTCTCTTACTTTTTACGCCTACCTCCCTCTCTTACCCCGGCACTACTCACTCTCTTACTACTTCTACCCCTCTGTTGCGACTCTTTCTTTACCCTCGCTTCTTTACTCTCTGCACCACCCTCATTCTCTTCTATTTACCTACCACCGATTTTCTCTTTCGGCGCTACTTTCCCTTGCTTCGATACCACCGGCTTCTCTTCCCCCTTACTCTTACTCCTCTTTACCCCCGGCGTCGCGACTTACTCTTCTTACAGGCGCCTCCTTTCTTACTCTTGGCCCACGGCCTCTTCGTTCTACCCTTTTCTCCCACCGGTTACCTCTCGGCCGCTTCCAGGCGACTCTTCGTTCCTCCCTTACTCGTCTACGCTTACGTCCGCTGACCCTTTCTTTCGCGCCACCTTTCGGTCTACTTTACCCCCGCGACCGTTTCGCCGCTTCTCCGGCCCCGCGACTGGCCCTGCCCTTCATACCTTCTTCTTCCACTTATTCTCTTCTTTTCTCCCGCTACTCTTATCTTTCTTCCACCTTCTTTTCTAATTGTTCACCCGCACCCTCTCTCCTTTCGTTCGTTCTTTTATTCGTTTACTCTTCTTACTTACCCCCTCTTCATCTACTTACTCTCCTCTCCCCTCTTTCTTTACCCCTCTTTTCTCTTCTTCTCTCTCTCTTCTTCTCTCTTCTCTCTCTTCTTTCTTCTTCTTCTTTCTCTTTCTCTCTCTTTTCTCTCTCTCTTCTTCTTTTCTTTCTCTTCTCTCTCTCTTCTCTCTCTTCTCTTCTTCTTCTCTTCTTTTCTTCTTCTCTCTCTTCTTCTTTCTCTTTCTTCTCTCTTTCTTTCTCTTCTCTCTTTCTTTCTTTCTTCTCTTCTCTTCTTTCTCTCTCTTCTTCTCTCTCTTCTTTCTCTCTTCTTCTCTCTCTTCTCTCTCTCTCTCTACTTCTCTACTTTCTCTTCTCTCTCTTTCTCTCTTCTCTTCTCTTCTCTCTCTCTTCTCTCTTCTCTTTCTCTCTTCTCTCTCTTCTTCTCTTCTTCTTCTTTCTCTTTCTCTTTCTTCTCTTCTCTCTCTTCTTCTCTCTCTTCTTCTTCTTCTTTTCTCTTTTCTTCTTCTTTCTTCTTTCTTTCTCTTTTTACTTCTTACTTTCTCTCTTCTTTTTTCTTCTTTTCTCTTCTTTCTTCTTTCTTTCTCTTTTTTTCTCTCTCTTTACTTTTCTCTTTCTTCTCTTTCTTCTTTCTACTTCTTCTCTCTTCTCTTCTACTCTCTCTTCTTCTCTACTCTTCTCTCTTCTCTCTTCTTTCTCTTTTCTTCTCTCTTCTCTTTCCTCTCTTCTTCTCTTTCTTCTTCTCTCTTTTTCTCTCTCTCTTCTCTTTACTCTCTCTTCTTCTTCTTCTTCTCTTTCTCTTCTCTTCTTCTTTCTTCTTCTTCTTCTCTCTCTTCTCTCTCTCTCTTCTCTCTTCTTCTCTTCTTTCTTCTTCTTCTTCTCTCTCTTCTCTTCTCTTCTTCTTCTCTTCTTCTTCTCTCTTCTCTTCTTCTCTCTTCTCTCTTTTTCTTCTCTACTTTTCTTCTCTTCTTACTCTTCTCTTTCTTTCTTTTCTTTTCTACTCTCTTTCTCTTTCTTCTCTCTCTTCTCTTCTCTTCTTCTCTCTTCTTCTTCTTCTTTTCTCTACTTCTTTTCTTCTTCTCTCTCTCTCTTCTTTTTCTTTCTTTTCTTCTTCTCTTCTCTTTCTTCTCTCTCTCTCTCTTTTTCTTCTTTTCTCTCTCTCTCTTCTCTCTTCTTCTTCTTCTTTCTTCTCTCTTCTTCTTCTTCTCTTTCTTCTCTCTTCTCTCTTTTCTCTCTCTTCTCTCTCTTCTTCTCTTCTTCTCTTTCTTCTTTCTTCTCTCTCTCTTCTTCTTCTCTTCTTCTTTCTTTCTCTCTTCTTCTCTCTCTTCTTCTTCTCTCTTCTCTCTCTCTCTTTTCTTCTTTCTCTTCTCTCTCTTCTTCTCTCTCTTTCT